GGAAAAGTCCAAGCACCAGGTGTTTAGTTTCCTAGAATAATAAGGGGTATTCTAATTAATAAGGCTTGGAAAGGAGGGATGGCTCAGAGTATTTTCAAAGACTGTATAGGGTCAGAAATGTTACCCTACTGACATGTTAAAAGTCAGTCTACCACAGTTTCAGGTATGTTGGCGGAAGACACGAGATCCAGGGTCGGAGACAAAGACCTCATGGTATAGCGAGCAGTGTGAGCTTCATGTGCACATTGCTTTCCCTTGCCTTCCAGCTCCCAAGGGGAGACGCCAAGGGGGGCCCAGGTGGACGCTTTGCACACGGTTATTTTGTGTCACAGCTGAGGAACCCAGGCTTCGGGAACCCAGTCTTTTATAATGGACTAAAAGAAAACCTGCCTGACATCTGCCCTACAGGGAAATATAATCTGTTTTGAAAGCAAACAAACTTTCCCTCTGCTCTGGAGGTAGACATTATGTCTTTCAAGGCTGTCCACTATAAAAACATCCTTACAAATATAGTTTAAAACGAAGGCCCTCAACTCCTGAAGTCACAAAATAAGCAGAAATTGAGAAACCCATAGAGAATAGCCACTAAATAAGTTTGTGCTAGCCATCGGGGAATCACCTTACACAGAGGTGTAACAGAGATCATTAATTCACCCAGTGCTAATTTTACTCAGTAGCATCTCCAAACTCTTCTGAGGAAATTAAGTCAATACAATACAGGTAAATATTGATGCTGAAAATTGAGAGCAGCAAGCATTCAGCACCCACTGAATGACCAACATTGTTGGAAACATGAAATACAAGGTACAACCCATACCTTTCATTTTACCCAAATATATGTAGCTCACACAGAGACCACAGGACTGCATACAACCCACTCAGCTCCTCAATACTGTCTGTGATTTCGTTTCACAGACAGTGAAAGATTAGAAATTTGTCTCTGAATTGCTACTTCTCAGACATGCTCATATATTACCATCCTTGTGGCTAAAAAGCATTAACAATTTTCTCTGCGATAATTCTTTTGCTCAGTAAAATAGGTATTATAAATTATAAGAAAGCACATTTTTCTATGTAACTCAAAAAGTAAAAGCTATTTTCCTTTTCAAAAAAACCCCCACAAACTTAAAAGATATTTTTCCTCAGTTTGATCACATAGACCAAAAATTTAAAAACAAATGAAAATCCCAGCTACTTACTGCTAATCACATGTAAGTAGAATGAATGATTCTATGAACTTGAAAATTCTAAGTGAACTGTCAACCTCACACAATTCAATGACATACCAAATTTCCCTGAAACTTATTTAAAATGAAGGATAACTTCTTTCAAATAATCATGTTGGCTTCCATTTTGCTTTAGAAAGACTAACTGAAATATAAACCAGTTCTATGACATATTCATATAACTTCCATTCTTTAGTGTCAGACATTTCATAAAAATCTCTCAGCTCCTTTGAAAGTTATCTTGAAGCAAATGAAAAAGCAATGGTGGACTGGAACCTACATTTCTTTCTTTTAATACATCAGCGATGTTCACAAAGACCTGGCCTTAAGAAAAAAAAAGAACCATTTAACACATGCCTTCTCGGCAGGGACAGTAGCACCCCTAAGGGAATGAATATTTTTTCTTGAGGAGGTGGGCAGAGAAAAATCTTAGATATTACAAGGTTTGTAGCCCTCCGAAGAGCCACAATGCATAAACAGATATGTAGTATATCTGTGGTATATTAAATTTTAATGATGGGAAATTAGGAATGTTGTATCTTTTAATTGGGAATTAAAAGATACAACAAATGGTTCCATGGGGGGAGGGGATGATAATGAAAAAAAAAAGTTCAGAAACAATGGCCTAACATAATATTTTGATCAGTGTTGTGTGATGGCAACCACTAAATTAAGCAAAAGGATTTATTTTTTAATTTCTGTCATACTTGTTTTCCATATTTTTTATCTATATACAATATGATAGCATTAAATAATTTTATTGAAATGGTATCCATGATGTCATTGTTATAATTTTTTTTCAGTTTTGCGTATTATCTGTAAAATCATAATGCATACTGTTTTGTATTCTGTTGTTTTCACTTGTATACATATATTCATCTTTCTACATGATCTTTATAATGACTGCTTTTATAAGGACACTTCAATTCAGTTGTACTGTGGCTCTCTTCTGGTTGTGCTTCTATAACTCTAAAAATTCTTTCCATGTCTTCTTTGCAATTCTGCTTCTCCTGACTTCTTATTAAAAATTGGGGTCCTCAGGAATTGCATGCTATGCCCCCTCCTCATTTCATACACTGTCTCAGGGTAATCTCATCCATCTTCCACCAGCACTCAGATCTTTCAGTTCCAGCCCGGACTTCACTCCTGGGTTCCAGGCTCATATTTCCAACTTGTTACTGGATTTCTCTACTGAGCTATTTCTTAAAAGATAATCTCAAAAAATCATCACATTTTCTCAACCTGTTTATCCCTGGTCATCTAGATTCCTTCCCTTCCTTCCCCTTGACCTCAGCAGCCCAGCTAGGTCCTGTTGACAGCATTAATACCTTCACAATATCCACCCTCTCCATTCACTCTGCTGTCCCCTTCATTCAGTCCTTTCTCTCCTACTGAGACAATTAGCCTATACTCCTAAACATCTTCCTGCCTCCTGTCGCGCCATCTTGTCTTCCACCACAGTGCTGTTTGACAAGTCTTTCTAAAGCATATATCTGATTAAGGCACCTCCAATGGCTTATGGCTACACTGCAGTATACAGTAACCGGAGCCACATATAGCTATTGAGCACTTGAAATGTAGCTAATCTGGAGTAAAATGTGCTGAAATAAACACATTAGATTTTCAACACTTAGTCTGAGAAAATGAATGTAAAATATATAATTATTGTATATACTGAGTTAAATATTTACATAATATATTCAGATTAATTTCACCTGCTTTTTTAAAATATGGCTACTAGAAAAATTGAAACTATTTACATGGCTCACATTTGTGGCATGCATTATATATAACTATTGCACAGTGCTGGTTTATAGGATAATGCCCACACTAGATCATAAGATTATGATGTTTCATCATCTGGCCACCATAGGCTTAGTCCAGTGGTCGGCAAACTGGCCCCTTGAGTGTCTCTCCCACAAACTATTGCACAGTGCTGGTTTATAGGATAATGCCCACACTAGATCATAAGATTATGATGTTTCATCATCTGGCCACCATAGGCTTAGTCCAGTGGTCGGCAAACTGGCCCCTTGAGTGTGGCTCTCCCACAAAATACCACGTGCGGGCACACAAGTACAGTGCGATTGAAACTTCGTGGCCAAAGAGCCGCATGTGGCTCGCAAGCCATGATTTGCCGACCTCTGGCCTAGTCCATTCATCTCCTGCTTGCTGTCATGCAAAGAGGGCTGACCTTGGTGGCAGGTGGATCTGGGTTCATTCCTAGACCCTTCCGCATGCCGGCAGTGTGATTTGGAGCAAGAAACTTAAACTCTCCAAGTTTTAGTATCCCCAGCTGCAAAACAGAGAATACCTATTTCACAGTGTTCTTGGGCAGATTAAAAGATACAACAAATGTCAAGTGCCTCCTGCATAAAATTTAATTTTCCTAGATGCATTCCAGTCACACCCAACTACTCTCAGTTCCTCTTTTTTTTTTTTTCCTATTGTAAAGAGCAGGTGTTTGTTCAAATATCTGCAGCCTTCCTAAAAGTGCACAATCCCCTTTTCCTCTTTGGTCACTAGGACTCTCCTTTCCTTTTATTTTTCCTGTTTTCACCATATATTAGAACTAAGGACCTCTGTCTCCCTTTTTGTTTTCCATTCAATATCCTGTATTAGAGAATTCATTTTAGTATTAATGATCATAAAGGAAGTCTCAAGTCAAAGGAACAGGTTACTCGTAAAGATTTTAGCTTGTTCTTACCCGATAAGAGAATATTTTCTGTCATCTGATACCCCTAGTCAATTCTTTCAACAAGTCAGACTTAAATATAACTTGGGAATAGCATTAGAAATAATTTCTTCTTCCTCATTCCTCACTTTTACTTCTCTTAACCCTCCTACCAGTGCCCTCTACCCCAGACCCACACATTTAGCTGCCACGTACATTAACTATCTTGTGAGGGTCCTTTTCATTGCCTGTGCATTAGCCACAGTGCAGTAGAGAGTTTCTGGCAATTGACACCTTGAGACAAATGCTCTAACAAATCTTAAAGTGTTTTTGATGGCCAGAGTTGTCAAAGGTGGAATGTTCTACATACATTGCCATTAGGAATTTCCAGAAACATTTTCTGAGTACTCGCCCGTGGATTCTTAACAGTTCTTTCCCATAGGAAAAGCTTTGAAACAGCAGCATTCTAAAAGGGATGAGGAGAGTCTGGCTAATGTTTCTCAAATGTAAAATGTGGCCTTTCAGATGATGTGGTCACCTTTTCTTCTTCTTCTTCTTTAACAATGTCAGCATTTTGAAATGGGGAAAGGATATGGATTAGGTAGGAATTGAATGCAAATGTGTTTTGCAAATAGTGTCTTTTGAGATAATCGCAGATGATGCTTGAATGCTGAAGGTATTAATACAATCAGTATTTAACCTTGTGTAACTCCGCTTCATCAAATCACACCCTGTGCATTGATTGCATTAAGCTGGGTCAGTGGTTTCTTGCTTAGGAATATCTTATAAGAATCTTAACAGCAAGGCAGCAGTAGCTGATCAGCTGCTGTTTATTTGCATACTGAGCGTGTCATCAATAATACAAAAGACAAGGTCTTTAAGTTGAAAGAACAGTGGGATTGGCATGAATTTTGCTTAATGGTGCGTAATAAGCAAAGTAGTCAGTGGTGCCAGAAACTGACAGGATCCATTATGTTAAAACAGATATATGTCTTTAATTTAGGGGTATTATGTAAATCTGACAGGAGTTTTTCCCTTTATTTTCCTGTAGTTTAACTTTAATTGCTCCAAGATTAATTCTGATTTCTCCTTCCCTCCAGAGGGTGATGAGACTGGTGTGATGGATAATCTTCTAGAAGCCCTACAATCAGGTGCAGCATTCCGAGACCGCAGGAAGCGGATTCCCAGGAATCCAGGTAAGACCCCTCTGAGCTCACTGGGATTGTCAAATATAAATGTTCAGAGCCAAGGACCCTCCCCCGATAAAAAAAAAAATAACAACAACAAACAACAAACAGAAAAACTTGGCCCCGGAAGATGTTTTTTAACACTTGATCTCAGTTCTTCAAGTGTGAAGTCTCAGCAGGTTTCTCCATCTCCATGATTGCAAGTTTCAACCTGGTAAAAGTATGTTCAAATAACTGTAGACTTTGCAAAAAAAACATTCTGAAACAAGAACTCCCACTGTGTTTAATATTAAATATTTTAATTGTTATTTTCTGAGCGCGTGGTTTGGGTGGAAGGTGTGCTTTAAAACCATAAATGTAATTAAATCATTAAAAGTAATTGGCCCTGTGGATGGCACATTAGCTATTTAAAGGTAAGGAAACAGAGATAATGTTTCTTTCTAGGGGCTGCTGTGGCTTTGCAGTACAATCTATTCTCCATGTTAGCAAAGAGAGGAGAGACACAGATGATCTAAGATCCCTGAAAGTCCCAAGCATTGAAACCCATGTTTGTGTGTGTTAGTAACATAGGCACACAAAGAAAGTTGATCTCAGGGGAATTAGAAACATGAAAACAACCTCCCTCACTCAAGTGTAATTAGAGAGTTGTCTACCTCCTCTGTTTACACCCTGGGGATGAGGTAAATAGGAGTTGCACTCAGTATAATCCAAATAGGCCGAGCTGGCCATCTCCTCTAAGTAAGTTCTTATATTTTTTTTTAGTTCATATCTTTCTTAAAGTAGAGAAGAAATTAGGTGTGCTAATTTGAAATGTCCTCTTCATAGACTATAAAAGCTATATAGAGCAGTAAATAAAAAAGGAAAATTAATAGTAAATATGTAAACTCTACTTCATTTAATGTTAGAAGATTTGCCTTGAATAGCCTGCAGTTCAAAAAATATTCTGAATCTAGACTGGAAACTATCATATATCGTTAGAATGCAAATTGGTGTCTCTTAAAACCATTGTAGTCCAACAAACCAGTGAAAGAAATGGAGCCCAGTGCAGAGATATTCCGGTAGCTTTTGGCAATGGCAGCAGACAGTATGAGTTATATTCATCTTTTTGAAAGTAAGATATGGTTGAGAGGAGAGAAGTGTTTTGGTTGGATTATAAGACTACTTTGTGTGTCTGACGGCATTGAAGATGGGCTACAAAAAGAGGGGAAGCTTGGAGGAAAGAAAATGAAAATCCTTATTTATATGCTCATATTAACTTCTTAAGGTAATGCTCCATGGCAGAATGTTAGGAGCACTACTGCTCTGTAATTATGAGGTGGCCATTCCATTTGCCTCAGTCTTTGTCTGTGAAATAAGAATGTTCTAGAATGCTATTGGGCCCCTTTCATCTCTTAAGAAAACAGAAACCTTCACTGTTTTTTCTTGAACTGCCAGAACATTAATAGTCAGTGGAAAGCAAACTGAAATAATTTGTACATCAATTCAGTTCTCTGTTAAGCAGCTGGTAAGTAAAAGTTATTCTGTGCCTTAAAAGAACTGCCTTCGTCTCTCCAGTCTGTTTATTTTAAAAAATACATTTTCTGAGGCCCCTGTCTGATTAGTCTCACACCTCAAACTGACTCTAGAAAGACTACTGGAGAGAGCGATCATTCTATGGGGTTTCTGTGAGTTTGGCACTCAAGGGAATATAGTGTTGTCAACTGTGAAACACCAAGAATATATTCAGAAATGGCATAAATTTATAGTACTGTTTCCAAGTAATCTAAATTGGGCTCTCCATTGGTTTGTATCTGGAGTGCCTCCATGAGCACAGAGGGTCAAAAAATATCAGCCTATTTAGCCCTGGCAGTCGTTCTAAGTGGCAGCAGCCAATGCAAATGTCCAGCGGTAAAAAGAAACTAGAAGGCAGGCAGCGGCAATGATTGATGAAGCATCTTGGACATCACTGGAAGAGCTTGGAGAGAGGGAGAGCGAGAGGCAGGCACAGAGAGGATGAGCCTGCCAAAAACTCTCCTGTCTGCTTGCCCCTTTCTATAAGCAGCAGAACCAGGGACTTTTCCAGATTTCCTCCTTCTTCCTGCCTTTTCCTAACTATACCATCTTTTCCTGCTGGCCCCTTTTTGTGTTGACTTTCTTAGGCACCTTATTTGGTTCCTTTCCAAGATTCCATTGATTTCGTATTGTTACAATTTCCTTATGCAACACCGGCATCCTTGTTGCTTTCTAATGACCTCCACTTCAACATGGTGAGATACAAGCAGTAAAACCAACTTATAAAAAATGGCTGTTTCCTCCAAGTAAAGTAAAATAAGAGGAAATAGGCAAAAATCTGAAATCAGAGTCCACCACAAATAGCAACGATGTTCTGCTCTGCTTTCCACCTTGTTGGCATCACTTACAGACAGAAATGACGGTATGTAAACTACAGAGCTCTACAGTTCTGCGTCTAATTGCAGTGTTTTCAATGCCATATTTACCCAAAATGAGGTGAGAGTCTGTATTCTCCATGAGAAAGTTAAAATGTTAATAACTGGCATAATTAGTTGCCTAAATTAGAGATCTTCCACGCTGAGCCTGGGGCCGCACCCCAAGAGTAACCCACATTGGGTGACTCTGAAGGCGCTCCCAAGCCTTGCCGCAAGCCATTTCAGCTGAGTGTGCTGTTTCTATTAAGGGCACCAAAAGACATTTTAAAGGAGACTGTCATGTCAGGAGTGATATTTAAAATATTAATAACTGGTGTCGCACAGGCCCCAACCAGTCAGAATATACACAGGCAGTCTCATCCCAGATTACAGCTTTGCTGATGTCAAACTCTGAGATTAGGAAATGAGCCCCTAAACATTCATTAATTTATTGTATGTATGTTCTGTGAAATGTACTATATTACAAATGATGGAAGATGCAGAAATAATTAAGATAAGATATCCTTAGTTATAAGACCCTTGTGTCTTGTAGGAAAGATAAAAAAGTATAGAAATGCTGCAGAGTGAGGCAGATGATAATAGGTACTATACAAAAGGTGTTAATAGCATATTATGTGAGTTCAGAGAAGGGAAATATCATGACTTAATGGATATATCAGGGGAAAAAAAAAACACGGTGGAAAGGCCTGGAAGGATGAGAATGGAAATCAGCAGTAGGAGTTGGAGGTGGGGATAGTAAGCATTTCAGTTGAATGAAATGTCCTTAAGAAAAATAGAGGTAAGAAAACACAAGTATTTTGGGAGAATAGCAAATAATATAGCTAATGGTTCTATAAAGTATAAAAGTTTGGAGATAATTCTGGAAAAGGAGGTTGGTGCCATATCCTAGAGTGCTTGAATAAGATGCTAAGGTGTCAGCATATAAATCTGTAGGCAATGACGATATACTGAAGGCTTTTAAGCAGTGCAAGAGCATGATCAAAGCTATATATTAAGACAGTCATCTATAGAAGTGTGAGCAATGAATGGGGATAATACTGTCATATTCTTAGTCAAAGGAAATAATGTAGAGGAAAAGGAGTAACCAGGATGCATCTAGGCTTTTGAGTGTGATTAGTTGGGAGGACAGGTGGGTTACAGGAGAAGACTGCTAGGATCAGGAAGATGAGTGCTGATGGAAGATGAATTCTTATTGGGGTAAGTGAAACTATAGGAATAGATAGTATTCATTCAACAATGTGCAGTTCGGGTGACTGCCTCCTGGGTGTCATACACTGGGTTAGGTACTAAGGATGCAGCACCAAAGAGGCCACTGCCTCAAGGAATTTGGATACTGCTTGGGAAAACATGAATGTAAGGCATGTGATACAGTTGCGACACAATCTAATTGCAACACAATCTTATATGTGCGTAATGAGATAGGAATTGTATGCTTGGGAAGGAGTTAGAGTACCTGCCCCATTCCCTCACCTCTCAAGAGCCTTTGCATCCTAGAATGTGGACTGTGCTTTCTGGAAACTTAGTGGGTAAAAGGATCATCTATCTCAGTTTTCCTTAATAACCTACTGTGGATGTATCATCTATGAATTTGCTAAATCTTTCTGTACCTTCTTTGATACAGCCTTTGTTAGCACTTCAGGTACTAAGTTCCATGTGTTTACAATCGACTTTGTAAGGTATTGCCCATCAGTATTTCTGACTTTGTCTTTATAAGATCAAAGGTAAGCTTTGGAGGGTAAAACACACACACACACACACACACACACACACACACACAGAAAAACCTTGCAGAAGTGAAAAGCACATTTAAATATCAATACGCAATGCCGCCTCTGTTCTTACTGAACAGCTATCAGTACTTAGCACTTGCTTCCCCTGCTTTAACCAACTTGACTTCTTCATTCTTTGCCCACTGTAAGTGTATATAAACAGCAATAGGTAGATGTCTAACTTAGCTATTCTAGCTGTGACTAGATTTTGATATATAGTTCTAGACATTAAACAAACACACAAGAGAAGCATTAGAAAGAAATGAAACCAGGAAACAGAATAAATGTAATTTGGTTTTAGAACCACACAGGGCAACCAAGAAAACGAAATTTGAAAAACCAGAAGAAACTCAGGAGACACATGATCCTAGTTTTATGGATCAGCAAGATAACAGTATAAATGAGAAGGTGTAATTTACCATTTGAGGACAGATAGGGGACAAGAAACAATGGTATTCAACAGAGAACAAAAACAAACTCTAAGTATTAGGGAAAACATCTTTGTAACAAAACAAAGCACACATTTTCTTAGTCCTCTCTATCTCACAGCAGTAATAAAACACAGATTGTCCTGGATCTTGTCTCCACAGACATGTTCAGGACCTCAGCTGCCTGTAGGGGGGTCTCAGGAGAATTTCTAGGGGTTCTCAGGGGGCATTTCACAAACACAGTTACCCACCCCTGTTCCTCCACCTTCGCCTATAATACCAGGCTTTTCCGCACCTGCTGTGAGCTGGCACGGTCATGTCTTCACAGTGCCAGAGCTTGACAGTGGTCAGTGGTGGAGTGGGGGGAAATGCCGCTCTCTTCCTTC